GCTTCCTTGGAGAGCATTCCAGTAACCTGGGATCGTCCCAGACGGCTGCCTGGGGCCCGAGTTGCACTCAGATTCGGGCGTCGCGAAATCAAAAGCACGACGCGCGTTTTCGCCCCGCTGTGCCTAGGGATCCTCACGGGTGGATCCCGCTCAGAAGGTGCCGCAAACCCACGGAATCGGCAGGTGTGGCCACAATTGTGCATTGTGGGTCCAATTTCTCGACGACAAATCGAGGGGAAAGTTACAGTTCAGGATCAGGAGTAGCCAGGTGTCCCTCGACTGGTGCGCATTTTTCAGAGTGTGTCAGGCAGGCTTGCAATTGGGCGGCTCAGATTCATGAGTTGTGCCTTGAGAGTGCGTTTATGGCTGATCTCTCCATTCCGTGCGATTTCCTCTGGGTCTCATTTTGTTTTTGGGTTTTTGTTCAGAGCCTTTTGTTTTGGGTCTTCTCTGCTGGGCGCGCACGGCCGCCTTTGGGCCGCAAGCCATGTTTGTGGCAGCCATTTGCCATCCGATGTAAAGCATCCTTTCTTGCTCCGTTGCAGAAATCTCGTGCAGCCACCATGCAAATACCTCCACTGACAATCGAAGACCGCCGACAATCTCCTCCCCCCTCCTCCTGTCTCCTTCCTGCCGATTTCCACGACTATTATATCGCGTTGAGCTCTCCCGCACGCGTCCTCGCCGTGGCCAAGGTGATGAGCGTCCTGGACGCACAGATCCAAAAGGGCAATCAGACCATCGAGACGCCAGTCCTTACCAAGGACGCCCACGGTTTATAATAAGGTGAATTGTCAATATTTGGAGGGATAGTGCCCATACAGCATATTGTAGCCGTACCCTTGAAACGGGAACGCACAGGTCCCGTTGATCAGGTGTTTTCGTGTTGGCGACGGCAGGGATCTTTTTGAAGTTCCCGCACAATGCAGTCAGTGGGGACGTGCTTACATTGGTTGACATGGATGGCGTATGATTGAGTAAAAAGCAGATGTCGCTCCTCGGACTTCGTCTTCCACCTCTCCCTCCTGATAGCCCTCCCTTTCCTACCCTCCTCATCGTCTTCATCCCCATGCCGTGTCGTGATAGCCATACAGGTGGCTTACTTTGCCCCAATTCGCCTGGCTAAATGATCTCGTCGTGCCTTGTTCCTGCAATTGATGTTCAGTGTTCAGGGACACATGGCAAGTGAAGCGGGTGGCGGCTACATCGAGCAGTTGACGGGTCGATGTTGGGCGGTGTTCTTCATAGCAACAGCCAGGCAGGAAAGAAACAGTAGCGTGATGGCCGCGGTAACATTTCAGTTATTTTCGACGTGGTGGAGCGGATTTGATTTTACAGAACGTGCGGATCGAGCACGGTTGGCGTGCAGAAGAGGGGCCTGACTGCACGGGACGAGGGCACGGCGCGTTGCATGTGCCATGTTTTGGTGTCCCAGTGGCTCGCCCCACTTGGAGGGCCTCGGGGCTGCACCCCCTCTCGTCCCTCTCTTCGTCCTCTTCGTTTCGGTCTGATCCGGGCAAGCCTTTTCGCGCGGGTGCTCCGCAATGGCCATCATGGGTCCTCGCCTCGTGGCTCTCTGGGCCGCAGGTTGGCCACTTTCGGACGTCTCCCGAGGCCCTCGCTCGGGGGCGAAAGGGAGATTTGGCACAGGGGGGACATCGACCTCCAGCTTGGCATCGCTTGGACGTGTGCATTTTTCCTTCGGCGAGACCCATCGAGGAGCATCCTTGATCATTTTGAGAAAAAACCACACACGAAACCGAAAAAAACACAAGGAATGGACGTCCGAGCGATGGCCAGCCAGGTGCCCCGCACATTTCGGACCTGCTTGGACAGACCCTCTCCTGCGCAGGAGAGCGCGGTTTCGCGGGCTGTTGGGGACAGATCGCCGACGCATCGGCGGTGTACCGCCGATTTCATGCCAATGTCTCCTACCCCCGAGCCAGCACGCACCCCTCCCCGCCTTCTCGCCCCCCGCCCCACCCCTTCATACCCCCCGGCGGAGCAGGACAAGATCGTCGATTTGTCGATGGACGTGCTGTCGTCCGTGGGGGAGCGCGATATCCACACTGGAGACGCAGGCGCCGCCGCTGCCCTCGGCGGCGTGCCAGCGGAAGCAGCAGTTGCCCCCCTCAAAGGGATCGTCCTCGTCGTGATCCTCAACGCCGTCGTTTCTGCCGCCGACGTCGTCGGCCATACGGCTTGCCCGGCGGTTGGCGTGTTGCGCACTCGGCCAGGTTTCTTGGCATCGCTCGGACGTGTGCATTTTTCCTTCGACGATGACCATCGAGGAGCATCCTTGATCATTTGGCGAAAAAACCACGCACGAAGCCGAAAAAAGCACAGGGAATGGACGTCTGAGCTATGGCGAGGTTTCGGGTTCGGCCACGCGATGTCGCCCTCGACGGCGGCGGCCGAGACGAAAGCAAGTGGAGCGTCGGGAAGGGAGCGGACAGCCGTTTCTCCTCATCCTCGGAGCTCCTCGTCGTTCTTTGTGCGCGGAGGGCGCTTGTCCTGCACATCCAGTCGGCCACCCCACTGTACTTTGAGCCGGTCGACGGGAGAATTGGAGCAGGTGGTGAATCGTGTTGACGAGGAGGAGGAGGAGAAACAAGAGAAATAGTGGGGAAGAGGAGTCGCAGCAGCTGCAACAGAAAGTTTAGCAGCGGCACCACCGTTACCAGCACCAACACCAGCACCATCTACAGCATCGGAAGGAAAAAGGAAGGGTCGGCGGCTTATGATAGAAGCGGTCGTGGTAAAATGTGTCCCCCAGCTTTCCTACTCCTTTGGGAGCCCCGCTGGGCTCGTAGGGCACTCTAGAGGCCAAGGTGGGGCTTTCCCTCTCTCGGGCCAGGGGGAATCTCCGGCAGCACCCGAAGCATGGAGGAGCATTTTTCTTGTGCGCATGAGCAGGGAGGGCAGGGTTGATACTCCCCCCCCCTCCCCTGCACCGGCAAGGGGAGAAGGGGTGGTCCACAACGGAAATGGGACAATTTACAAACAATTAGTATGGATCCGAACCATAACCCCAACCGCCTCGAGGAGTGTTTGACCGATCGTTATCCAGACAGGCTTACCTATAGGAGTCCTTGCTCAATGCATAGATAGCTGGTCCACTAGGCCTCGCCTCCCCGCCGCCGATTCTTGTGATGCCCGAAACTGTTGGAAGCGTTTCCTCTGCTATTGCCATGGCTTCCTTTGTTATTGCGATGATTTCTCTGCTATTGCAATGGTTTTTTCTGCTGTTGCAGTGGCTTCCAGTAGGGTGGAGTCGAGAAGACTAGATGAGTAGAGCACACTGTGATTTGTTGTGTGTCAGACTTTACATCGCGAATCGAGGGAGGAGCCAGAGGTGGCCGCATCCTTCCTCGGTTGCCCTTGCTCAAGCTCCGAGGCCCCACGAGCCTTGTTGCACGTGCGTTCGCGCATGGACCGGCTGGCCCACTTCGCAGCGCAGGAGGCGGTGCGGGGGTTCGCTGCCGGCGCTGCGGTTTGGGGTCGGCTTGGGGCTCGTAGTGCCCAGCTTGCCCGGCGAGCACGGCGTGTCCCGCGTACCCGTGCGGCAGCGAGCCGCGGCTCGCTCGTGTGCCTTGGCGGTTCGGTCACCGAAACTCGCCCCTGGGGAGTTGCCCCCGTGGTGACTGCGGAGCTTGCCTGGCTAGGCAGCGCCGCCATCGCCAGCGTTGGCGCGGCGGCTCGCGCGCGGCGCCAGGCCCCCAGGCCGACCGCCCAGAGGCCGGAGGCTCCAGGCCTGAGCCTCTCGCCAGCCGCATTGCCGGCGCCAGCCCCCGCAGAGCTCGCCGCCGCCCAGGCATCTGTGTTGCGCGCCACGAAGCCGCACCTGACGCAGTGGCGGGACGGCGGTGGCGCCAGCGCCAGCCGCGCACCCGCTCGCCGCCTACGGGCTGCAGGAGGGTGACTCCATGCTGCTCGAGTACGCGGGCTTCCTTGGCACCTTGTACGAACGGTTCATCGTGCTCGCGCCCGCTGGGGCAGCTGTGGCGCGCACGCTCATGCCAGACGACGACAGCTAGGAGCTACGAGGAGGACCCCTTCGGCGTGGCGGACGTGCTGCGGCGGCTGTCGCGCGACGGCGGCCGCGCGGGCGCCTGCCCCGCTGCGCCTGCCCCGCCGCGGCCGCCGGCGCCCACATGCACGGTTTCCGTGGCGTGCCCTCGCCGGCGATGATCGGCCAGGTGCTGACTGCAGCCGCCGCGCGCTTCGGCGCGGCGCTTGCGCCCGCGGCCACAACGGTGCACAACCTTGCCCGCGCGGCCGGCGGCATCACCGGCGGGGTCGCCGGCCTGGCCGCAGCGTTGGCACAGCCCCCCACCCGGCCATGATCGGGGCCCCGCACCCGTCCGCGGGCCAAGCGGCGGCCGCGCCGTCGCGGGCGCCCCCGCCGCAACGGCGGACGCCCACATCCGCCCTGCGACCCACGACCTACTCGGCCAGCGGTGCATCGACTATCGCGTCGCAGTGTCGGCGACGACGGTCGGCAAGTTTCCCGACTGGCCAGCGCGGGGCCCACGGACGGCCCACTGGGCCCCGAAGTCCATGGAGGCGCACGGCGGGGCGGCGGGACCCCGGCCCGCCGCCACTCGCAATGGCTCTCAGAGGCTCAGTCGCAGGGCAAAGAGCTGGGCGTCGACGAGCATGAGGGGACCCCAGACCAGCCGAACACGGCGACATGCTGGCGCGCGCGGCGCAGCTCCTAGTTACCGTGACCGCGCGGCGCCAGCAGTGGACTTCTCCAACACCGATGCCACCGCCATGCTCGGCGCGGACCAGCTGCGGGGCAAAGCGCGCGCCCCCTCTGCCCCGCAGGGCCCAAGGACGAGCATGCGAAGACCAGCGCTGGCCGGAAGGAGCAGCGCACGGCCAGAGAGGAGCGCTAGGCGGCCAAGAAAGGCATGCGCCCCAGAGGCGCGAGGGATAGTGGCCAGGATGGCACGTGGCTTCGGAGTGGGAGGCAGAGTTGGGCGGTCGCCCCCGCCAGCCAGCCCGGCGGCCGCAGGCGTTGCCTCGGAACCTCGGCCACGCACCCCTCCTCGCGGCGCACCTGCCCAGACCCGGCAACGCTTGGCCGCGCCGCGGGAGGGCCAGTTTCGCGGCCAGGGCCGCCGCGCCCGTCGGCGCCGCCGCGACGCCGCTGGCGTCATGGACGCTGCGCACGCGCCATGTTTCCAGCCGTCGGTCGCCGGGCCTCCGAAGGTCAGCGGGCGCCCCATCTCGCGCATCCAGCCAGCCTTCACCCAATTGGAACCTCCTCCTCTTGACGGTGAAGTTCTACGTGACGGTGTCGGAGCTCCCCCCTGGCCCCACCGCGCACGGCCCGAGCGGGCAGCGACAGCCCTGCTCGCAGGACTTGATTTCGCGGCTGGACGTCGGCGAGGACCCCGCGCCCCTCATGGACATCGCGGCCTACCCGGGCGCCCAGTGGCCTGGCGCTTGGAGCTCGAGCCTGCTGCGCGGTCGGAGCGACGCAGATGCCCGTCTGCAGCAGGTCTGCCCTCGCGGGCCGCACGTCAACCCGCGCCTCTCGTCCCCCTCGGCGCTCTACACCGACTTCCCCGCCCGGGTGCTCGAACGCAAGATCGTATGTTTCTAGGCGGGGGGGGGCCAGCATCAAGCCACCTGGAGTCTAATGCACGGCAAACGAGCGCGGACTGCTCAGACCTGATTTCCGACGCGCGCGTTGCAAACGCTAACTCTTGCGACCCGCCCATCAGCGCCTTGCGGGGGGCATCGACAACGGCTTCAACGGGATGGGGTCCCAGGGCGGCTTCGCCAGCTATTCCCCGCCGCCGCCGATCGACAGGCGCCACCTCGAACCACGCGACGCCACCAGGCCTTCCGGCCGCCAGCCGGGCGCAGGCTTGCACGGTGGTCCTGCCCATGGGCTTCTCGCGGGCGCTGCGCCCGCGCTAGGCGGCGCTCCGCGCGGCCGCGCACTGGGCTGGCGCCCCGAACAAGCTCGCGATGGAGAACGGGCGACCCAGCGCGGTCATCGACGACGGCGCACGCGGACATTCACTTCGCCATCAGCACCGAGGAGGCCGCCGCGGACAAGGCGTTCGCGGACATCACGTCGGAGCTCGAGGGCGTCGGGCCGCGCGCGCCCGCCCCGGAGCTGGCCGCCGAGAACTGCGGCTTCTTGGGGGCGGGGCTGCGCCGCGGCCGCTGGATCGCCATCGAGGGCCGCTCGGCGCGGAAGCTCCGCTCCGCCACCGAGGAGTTACTGCGTCGCGCGCGGGCCTCCAGGCACTCGGCGCGGGCGCTGGCCAAGCACCTGGCCTGGGCCTCCACGGAGGGACCCGAGACGCGCGGCTTGCTCAACGCCACCTACGCGCTCATCTCCGCGGCGGGCGCGCAGGCGGAGACCCCGCGGCCGGCCGCGCGGACCGAGCTATCGAGCGCGTTGTCTCCCGCCGCTCCTCGCGGCCAGCGCCGCGGCACCGCAGCCCGCGCGCGCGGTCGCCAGCGGCGCCAATGAGAAGGGCCTCGGGGCGCGCCGACGTCACGCGCCCCCTAGACTCATCGCGCAGCGCGGTCGGCAGCGCGAGCGCCGGCGGCATCGAGTGGCAGGCAAGTCGCGCGCCAAAGAAAGCCCTCGCCCCGCCCGCCCCCCTTCCTCGCCTCCCCAGCGTTGGATCACACGACAACGGGGGCCCCTGCGAGGTCGGGGATTCCACCAGGGGGACCATCGCGCCAATCAACCAGCTCATCATCCAGGAGGCCCCCGCAGGCTTGCAGAAGGTTTCCGCGGCCCCCATGCGCCCTGGACCAGCACGGCCGGGCGTTCGGGTTCGACGAGGTCCCCGCGGGCCCGTTGGACGCCGAGTCCTGGAGGGGGGCCGTCGCCGCGCGGGTCTCATAGGGGCGCGACATCTTGGGGCTCGAGGAGGACGCCCTGGCAGCTGCCAACAAGCACAGACTGCGACCATCAGCGCGTAGGGGGTAGAGGCTTCTGGCGATGGCCGACAAATGCCGCTTTGCCTCACCGCGACAGGAGGGGGAGCAGCTTCTCGGTTTCCCCGGCTACCGTCGCTGCATTGCAGATGGATTCCGTCCGAGCGCAATCCCGCAGACGCTCTGTGCCATGGGTTACGCGTGCGGTTCTCGGACACCACCGACCGCGCGCCCCCTCGCGACCAGCATGACGGCCCGGCGGAGGCCGGCGGCCGCTGCCAGCCCAGCGACGTTGCGCCGACCTGCGAGGCACGCTGATCTGGCGACGCTCGACGCGAGGGCACAGAGCGCCGCGCTGGCCGCGCGGCCGATGGCCGAGAGGCCCCCACGGGGACCGCTGGGCCCCTTGGAGACGCTGGCGACAAAGCCCGACACAGAGGACCAGCACCGGAGAGTGCTGAGGGACTTCGCCGCGTCTTCCACGGCCCTCAGCGAGGGACCAACTTGGGAACTTGGGCGCGTCGGATTCTTCACGCGTGCAATACATGCGGAGAGGTGACCCAACATGCGCCTGGAGCGCGCACGCGGAGCATGTTTTTTTCATGTGACCAAGGCCCCCAAGCGAGGGGCCCACTGTAGCCCGCTGGATTCTGCACATGTGAAAATACGTGCGCGGATGTGGGGCACCCAACGTGCGTTTGGCGCTTGCGCGCGGGGCACTTCTTTACCATGTCCACGACCCCGATAAAGGTACGTCCGCGGAGGGGGGAGCCCAACATGCGCCTGGCGCGCGCGGGGCACATGTTTTCACTTGTCCACGGCCCCCAGAGGGGACCCAAGTGTGGTGCGTCGGATTCGTTAGATGGGAAAATACGCGCGCGGAAGGGGGGGGGGGGGGGGGGGGGGGCAACGCCCAACATGCGCCTGGCGCGCGCGCGGGCCAAATATTTGCACATGTCCACGGCCTTCAGCAAGCTTCCTGAGGGGGGCCACATCGGGCGCGTCGGATTCGATTTGAAAATTCGTACACGAAGGGGGGGGGGCCAAACGTACGCCTGGCGCGCGCGCGGGCCATATATCGGAGGCCTGGAGGTTGACACCAACACCAATATCGGCGGTGTGCCTCCACCGGGGGAAAATGATCCCGATCTCGGTGATGGTGGTAGTTTTTGGGACTTCTAGGTGGCCGAAAGATTACCACCAACACCGAAATCGAAGATCATATTCCCCCTGTGGAGGCAAACCCCTTGTGCTGGTGTTGGTGCCCATTTTCAAGTCTCCAAGTATATTTTCACGCGTTCGCGGGCTCCCCAAAAAATATGTGCCCGGAGGGGGGTGGGGGGGCGGAAGGACGGGGCCCAACATGCGCTTGGCGGGTGCGCGCGGGGCACATACTTTCACGTGTCCACGGCCCCCAGGGGGGGGCCACACTTGGGCGCGGCGTGGACCCAACGTGCGCCTGGCGCGCGCGCGCGCTGGGCATGTGCGTTCATATGTCCACGGCCCTCAGAGGAGGGGGTCCCAATTCGCGCCCGCCGGACTCATGACATGGGAAAAGACTTGCGCGAAGGGCGGGGCCCCACATGCGCCTGGCGCGTGCGCGCGAGGCGCATATTTCACGCGCCCACGGCCCCCAACGAGGGACCCAATTTTGAGCCCGCTGGATCCTTCACACGTGAAAATACGGGTGCGGAGGGGGGGGGACCCAACATGCGCGCGGGGCACGTATTTTCACGTGTCCACGGCCCCAGGAGGGACCACGTCTGGGCCCGCTGCATTCTTCACGCAAGAAAGTACGCGCACGGAGGAGGGGGTACCCAACTTGAGCCCGCTGGGTTCTGCACACGCGAAAGTACGCGCGTGGCGGGGCTGCGGCCCCCAGGGCGGGGGGGGACCCAACTTGGAGGCCAGCGTGGACACAACATGCGCCTGGCGCGCGCGCGGGGCACGTATTCTTCCGTGTCCACGGACGGGCCCCAGGGCGAACCCAACCTGGGCCCCCCGGCTTGTCCACACGTGAAAATACGCGCACGAGGGGTGGGGAAGCCCAACATGCGCCTGCCGCGTGCGCGCGAAGCATGTGTTTTCACGTGTCCATGGCCCCGAGGGGGGCAATCCAACTTTGGCTCGTCGGAGCTCTTGCGCGTGAAAAGAGGTGCGCGGAGGGAGGGTGCCACCGTTGCGCCTTGCGCGTGCGCGCGGGGCATGTTGGTTTGTTCTGGCTTCTGCCCACGGCCTCCAGGGGGGGACCCAAGTTGGTCGCGTCGGGTTCTTCACACATGCACAGGCGCCGCCGTGCAGGAGGGAGATGGCGATGGGGAGAAGGAACATGGAGGCATAAATACGATGACGAAGAGGAGGCAGGAGGAAAGAGGAAGGAGGAGGAGGAGGAGGAGGAGGGTAGGGATGAAGAGGAGGAGCAGGAAGAGGAGGAGGATAAGCAGGACGTGCAGGAGGTAGGCGTTGTAGCCAGGCAATGCGCTCTCTCGGAAGCATGAGTCGACAGGGGGCGACGAGGAGAAGGAGGGAGGAGGAGGAGGAGGAGGAGGAGGAGGAGGAGGAGGAGGAGGAGGAGGAGGAAGAGGAGGAGGAGGAGGAGGAGGAGGAGGAGGAGAGAGGATGTGGGAGGAGGCGGAGGAGGAGGAAGAGGATGAGGAAGAGCATGGGGAAGAGGAGGAGGTGGAGGAGGAAGAGGAGGAAGAACAGGAGGAGGAGGAGAAGGAGGAGGAGGAGGAGGAGGAGGAGGAAGAAGACGAGGAGGACGACGACAACGCTACCTAAGGGTTGTTTAGGGAGTTTTATGGTGTTCCATGTTCCATGGGTCCCAGGGACGGGAGCGGTGAGGGAAAGCAGCAGCTGGCGAAGGAGGGGGATCGAGATTATGAGGAAGATGGACCAGCAGCAGGAGGAGGCGGCGGATGAGAATGAGCGGGAGGGGCAGCAGAAGGCGAAGGCATCGCGAAAGTTCTCGCGCTTGGGGTTTCACGATGACACATGAGCAGAGCGATTCCCGCTCACAGGCGAGATCTTCGTCATCGATGCTGCGGGCGTTCACAAGACGAAGTTCGAGCTCAAGCTCGACTGAGGCAGCATGTCGGCATGCACGTAGCTGGCGCTTGCGGCCACTGAGACCAGCAGCTTGAAGCCATGCAGGCAGCCTACGCTCACGCCCACCAGTTTAGGATTGCATGGTTGCGTGCGCCTTGCGATGGCATTAAAAAGTTGTCGTTGACCCATGTGTGCTGCCGAGGTGGAGGTGTGCCCGCGTGGCCGTTAAGGTACGTGCTGAGGGGCAGAGCAAGGTGAGATGCCCTAGACTATCAGATTGCGGTTTTGCTATCTAGATTTTATTTTGGTTCTGTAGTTGCATTCGGGTTTTATGTTGAAATCCTAAGGTGTTCCGGGCAGGGGGGCAACTAGAATTATTATTGAGAAATGAGAGTTTACTATCATTTTTAGATTGATCGTTTGTTATTGGTTCGCGTGCCGTTCAACATGTATATCCCAAGTCCTCGATACCCGCCTCGTCGTCTTCAACCATATCCCCCTTGTAGGTGTATCGTCCCTACCTGCCGCGCTTAGTTGGCGTAGCTCTTCACACACGGGAAGCGGGGAGGGAAGGGACAGCGGGAAGAGAGAAGGGAGATTAGCAGGAAGGGGGTTAGGAGGAGGAAAACAAGCAGTAGAACCAGACGAGCGGGTCGGGCGCGGGCGGGGCGGGCGGGCGGGCCCACACGGCGGGGCCGAGCGGGCGGGTCGTTGGGGCGTCAGTCTTACATGAATCGCGAGGAAGTCTCGAGCCATAACGCGATTGCCAAGTACACTGTGAGGAAGTCCACTGCGAGAGCGTGATTCTGGAATGTTCAAGACGCGGCGTGTGAATAAGTTGCGGGAAGGTCCACGCGAGAGCCCGATTCCTGAAGAAATTGTCAGCGAGTCCCGCGCGAGAGCGCGATTTTGAATAGATTGTCAGGAAGTATCAGGCGGGAACCGTTGATGTAGTTCGGGGGCCAGGGGCGCAATCGGACGCGCAAGCTTTCCCTTTGTAGCAACAGGGTGCAAGCCTTGGGGAAAGCACATCAGTTGAAAAAGCGTGAGATGCACCAAGCGGGGGGCATCAGCAAGGGTTGCTCTATACGGGTGAGAACTCAACAGCAACAACAACCACAATAACAACAACGACAACAATAACAAGAACGATTACGAAAACCTCAACAACAACAACAACAACAACAACAACAACAACAACAACAACAACAGAAAGAACACTAACAATAATCATTAGCGCAGCAACAAGAACAACAATACATTGAAGACTGCCTCGGTACCCGCTCTTTTCGGCTTCGATCATACCCACCTTGGGGCTATATTTTTCTTACCTGCCACGCGAATGTAGCGCAGCCCCTGAAACAGGGAAAGAGAGGACGGATAGAAGGGGGAGAGAGAAGGATGGAGCTCGAGAGAAATGGGCAGGAGGGGTGGTTAGGAGCAGAAAGCACGTGACAGAACCAGACGAGCAGACCGGGCGGGCAGACCCTAGCGGGCGGGTCGGGAAGGCGGGCCCAGGCGGCCAGGTCGAGCAGGCGGGTTGTTGAAGCGTGAGTCCTGCATGAACCTCGAGGAGAGGTCAAACGATATCGCGATTCGCAAGTAAATCATGGGAAAAGCTGAAGCGAAAGCGTGATTCCTGAGGGTCACGAGGGCGCCCAAAGCCGCCAAGACGGCCCTGAGTGGCCAAGCACGCTCCAACATATTGCGAAGGCCTTACGGCCGGTGCCGCCGACCCTGAGGTTAAGGAGGAGGGCGCGGAGCACGGGGAGGAAGATGAAGAGGGGGACATCAGGAAGAGGCGAATGAGGAGGAGTAGGAGCACAGGGGGGAATGAATAGGAGGAGTGAGGCGAGCAGGGTCGCGGGGGGGGGCACGAAGGGGAAGGGCCGGGGCAAGTAGAGCATGTCGATCATAAGGAGGGGAAGGAGGGAGACAATGGCGAGGATGTTGACGATATTGACGACGCCGGTTGCCTATCAGGACCATTCGGGGGGGGCGTCTTGGAGCCCCCTTGGGGCGATTTCCAAGCTTCTTTCGCTATTTTGAAGCCAGGTTCGGCATCTTGGGCATCTGGGAGGCCACGGAGGTGTAGTTAGATTTGGAGAACGCTGGGGCTGGAACCTGGGCCAGGGCCGCGGTAAATCGTGAGAAAGGCTGAAGCGAAAGCGTGATTCCTGAGGGTCACGAAGGCGCCCAAGGCCGCCAAGACGGCCCAGAGTGGCCAAGCACGCTCCAACATATTTCCATGACGACACCAGAAGACCACAAGATCCTTCGACTAAAATTCTGACTGGCCCCAGGAAAGGCCTCAAATATCCTAGATCTCCGAAAACTTCTGGAGCGCTCCAGAAAACCCCAAGACGACCCCGAAAAGCATAACGACAGTCTGAAAACGGTCGCACAACGCCCAAGTAGGACCCGAAGACGGCTCAAGACAGGCTGCCCCAGAGAGCGCCACGAAAGCCGAGGAGAGCGTCGAGATTGCCCCATGTGCCCCCCACAGAGCCGCAAGATGCGACAAGACGGCCCAAGAGGGCCGAAGAGCCTCCGGGTAGGGCCCGCCGAAATCCCCAGGAGGCGCCCAAGAGCCCACGTAGAGTTGCCCAAGACGCCCCCTAGGGAGCCCAAATATAGCCTTCTGACACTTGAGGAAGGGGCCCAATCGAACGCTTCAGTTTCAGCGTCCACCCACACATATTCCCCGATCAGCTCGAAATACCCCCAAAGACGGCCACCATGAAACTAGGTGCTGCGCCACTCAGACGCGGGATGGCGCGGGCGACCAGCACGGGCGAACGACGCGGAAATTCGAGCCGTTTTGGTGACGGTGGCTGGTCTTGCATACTGCTGCGGCGCAAATTACCCGTCTTCATTGTTTTGGGCCCGTCCTTTTATTCGGTCTTGTGTGTACGAGATCGCTACTATCAGCTGGTTGCGCTCTGAATTCGAACGTGCAACATGTTTTGGCTTTGATACGGACCCCGTTGTAACATTGTTTCCAAATCCGTCCGCATTCCCGCGTTGATGATGTGATCGATTCGCGGGTGGCAACACAGGCGCCAGGATGTTGTTGGCGTTGGCGATTTCTCCGGACTGCGCCAGTCTATCGCTACCTCGGTGCATAATACATTTGCAAAACCGTGCAAGGCCAAGGTATTGCTTTGAGGACTCCCAGCGGGTTCGATGCCGATGCCAAACAACGTACGACGCCGCATGTGGACAGGGATCTGAGCGCCAGAACTTCGTCAAGGCATTACACGAACAGCTTGTCTTGGATAGTCCCATAAGTAGTGTCAGACGGGCCGGAGCCACGCGCGCTCCCGAATCCGTAGGTGATGGTCTCTGGTCGTGGCTCGTGGCCCCCGGCCTCACAGTACAGCATCCAGCCGCCTGCGACAAGCCCCGCGGCCGCGCCCGTGCAACAGCGCAGCAGGGAGGAGACCTGAGTGCAGGAGCAGCGCAATCCCGACGATCGCCCTGAATTGGAGCAGGTCGTGAGTTCGACCTCGTCCTCGTCCGCGCGCGGGGGCGGGGACGTCGAGTCCACGCACAGTTCGACAAGCGGTCTGAATTGAGACGAGTCGTGATCTCGATTTCATCTTGGTCCGCGCGGAAGGGAGGAGGAGCAGGAGGAGGAGGAGGAGACGAGAATAATCAGGAGAAGGCCGCGCAAGGGGCATCCTGGAGGCCTTCTGCTGACCCTCTTGGGCGCCTCTTGGGTCATCTTCGGTAGGGTGGGGGCTCTTGGCCCGTCTGACGCCTTCGGAGGCCGTCTTGGGGGGCCTCTGTGGGCCGTCTTGTTGCCCTCTTGGGCTGTCTTGGGGCACTCTGGAGAGGCTCTCGGCCGATTTTGGGGTCCTCTTGGGCCGACTTGGGGCTCTCTTTGGTTGCCTCATGGATTGTTTTTGAGCTACCTTGGAGGCCGCTTGGGCCGTCTTGAGTCGCCCAGCAGGCCAGCATGTCACAGCGCCCGCCAACAGGCTACACAGGGCAGGAACATGTGACACGCTTTTCCGCGGACTCGAGAAGTCAGCCACATGTGATAGTGGCGTTCCGCGGGTCCCAGACTACAGTAATGTGTGGCACCTCCCTTCCCGTGACCCCAGGGGGCCGCAACATGCAGCAGTGGGCTTCTCCATGGGAGGGGAGGCCGTGCGCAGCATCTGGCCATTGATCTCCCCATGGCCCAGAGGGCCGTGACATGTGGCATCGGGAGGGTGGGCCCCCATCCCCGCCTGCCTCACCCAGCCCCCCGTCCCACTTCTCGCGTCTGGCGGAACAGATAACACCTGCCAGCGGCGCGCCCGGTGCCACCTCTTTCGTCCGAGCGCCGCCCCCAGGAGAGGTGACGGTCGCGGCACTGCTGACCCGCGCGGTAGCGGAGTTCTTTCATCTTCTTTGTCGGCGGTGTTGCCCGCTGCTCGTTCTGGTTTCGTATTGTCCGTCTCTCCTTATTTCCTCTCTCTCTCTCTCTCTCACTCACTCTCTCTCTCTCTCTCTCTCTCCCTTTCTCTATGTGTATATATAGAGAGAGAGATGTGTATGTGTGCGTCCCTCTCTCTCTCGCACTCTCTCTCTCTCTCTCTCTCTCTCTATTTCTCTCTCTCTCTCTCTCTTTCCCGTTCTCTCCCTCTCTCTCTTCATATGTCTCTCATGTTTTATCTCTCTCTTTCTCTCTCTCTCTCTCTCTCTCTCTCTCTCTCTCTCTATATATATATATATGTATACAGAACCATATCTCATTATGTCTCTCTCTCTCTCTCTCTCTCTCTCTCTCGATATATTCCTCATCCAATACACCATATAAAGGAACCCCCCCCTAGGATGGGAGGATGTCCGGGGGGGATTTATTTTTCTCCGCCTGGCGCGCCTGGGGAACCACCTCTGGGGGCCATGCAGAGGCCATGTTGGCGTTTTTTGCCGCCCGAGGAAGTCCCAAGACAGCCCAAAAGGGCTCCAAAACAGGCGCCGAGACGCCCAAAGATCGCTCCAAGAAGCCCCGGTTGGTCCCAAGACGGCCCAGGAAGCTCCCAA